AAAACCTATGCCAGCAGGAGTTTTATACCTATGGCAGGACAGGTTGAATGGAAGAGGTCATAACAACTTGTTTGTGATGAGACAATGTTGTTGGCCTCACTCCCAAACTTCAACCTGGAGGACTAAGGAAACAGCAACAAGAAATACTGACTCTCTTTGGCACCCTGAAAGCTTGCAGTCTCAACAGATAAGAATGACTAGTGCCAGTGAAAGTCTTTTGGAAGTTGGCATCATGAAAGAGAGCATCCTGGACCCAAGAACATAATTTGGTACTTAGAATGATAGAATTATGTAGGAAGTGTGCAGGAAAGAATGAGTATTAAATAAGATGTAAATAAAAAAAAACAGGACATTCATTCTTGGAGTAAGCAGGTTTAGGTAGACTGGCATTGGCAGCAAGCAAACAGCCACCGTTTAATGCAGATTAATAGTCAGTCTTTTGAACATAAAATTGTTGATTAATTAATTAAATCTAATAAGCATGATAATAAATAAGCAACATAATTGAGTAATACTAACATTTAGAAAATATGTATAGACATTCAACTATAACAGAGTTACAAGAGAGAAAGGGTGTTATTATAAGTCACTTGTTTTGTTTTTAACAGCATTGTTGCTCATGTGTGGAAGCACATTATGCTAATATAATAATAATAATAAACAGACAAATGACTTACAACTATAATGAAGTATGTTGTCCAAAACAAAAACACTGTTATGCTTATAAATCATTGTTTACCAGTTTACTATTAATGGCATTATTGATTAATTAAACTTACAAGTATAGTTACATTGGTGCTCTGTTTTCATTATCAAAATTATTAGTGTTTGAGTATATTTTATGTTTCATACGTATTCTACCATAATACTTCTCGTTCATCTTGTATACTAAGCATTCAGTATATTTTATTGAAGCAATGCAGCCACTAAAACATACCCCCTTGGTGTATGCTTGGTGTAAAATTTTGGTGGTGTGTGTTTTTGTTTTTGTTGTTTTTTATATATACAACAAGCAACCTTTCTTAAGTAATGGCCATTATACAAATCAAAACATCATATTTTTCATATAAAGGACATTTTGTGTGTAATTATTGTACAAACTTTTTAAAAGGTTTCTGTTACCAAGAGGGGAAAAAAATCTGACATTGTTTGAATGCTGTCTGACAAACCTTAGAACACAGCCCTAGTATATACACTCATATATGTATATATCTTTACATAAGTATACATAATTTTGTAAACATTCAGTGACTATTTTGTATGCAAATGTAAACAGAAATTTTTTGACTGAAATTATGAAGAAAAGAACAGTTTACAGTGGAATAATTGTTTCAACAGTTATAGCTAGTCTTTAAGTTTGAACACAAGCCATGAATGATCATAGGTGTTCTTTGTATTTGATGTATAGTAGTTCTCAAGTATATTTTCTGACACACCCACAGATTGCCCTGTACACCAAGCTCTTTTAAAATAATTTAAGAAATATTACATAAGGAACAAACCTAATGAGTAATTGTGATTTGTGTGCAGCAATTGTTGAACTCCAAATTTTTTTGCAACATAATCCAATGAAACAAAAGCAAGAACTTCTGTCTTCTTTTTTTTTTATATTCTTCCAAAAATGTTGTCAAGTCTTCATCAGACTGACTAATAACAGATTTTCTTTTTAACCCTTAAATGTTTGAGGTGGGTCACAAATGAACCTTGTACCTACTTTATTGGTTTATAATTGATGATCGTATTTCTTTTGTCCAAACTTTTTTGATTCCTTAATCAAACTTTCTTGATGAGTACATCACATTAATTTGGTCAAAACACACACAAAAAAAACTTTATTGTGTAGTAATTTTGAATGAAAGAACATGGGTCACTAGTGCCTCAGATCATATGTATGGTGTAATTTGTGTTAATTTTATCTGAAAAGGTGTGGCATAGAAAAGTGCCATGAATAACACAGTGAGGGCACATCAAAGAACACTGGTACTACTTCAAAATGCAAAAAAAGTGATGGGTGTGCCCTACCTGTTAAAAACAGGAAAACTAGTATATTGTGCAAAATACACCAGACTCATACAACAAAAAATAACTGTTTATGCTCTAACTGAAATTTATAGGTATCGTATCTGAGGGATTAAAGTGTGTGTTTTCTCTGATGAAACAATATTTCTGGACATTTTTGATGTTGTGTTTATTGTGACCATCCTGCTTGTATTGTGTTAGATTTAATAAAAGAAATTTACACATGAATGTGGTCTGAATCCTTTTTTTACTTTGTCAGGTCACTTGTGACTGAAATTATGCATTAATGTAATTAAATACTTCATACATTTATAGTTTAATGTTTACATTAAGCATTGTTCTATTTATGTTATTTGTAATTAGAGACCTAGTCTGCATTTTGTAGAGTTTTATAAGGAAAATACAAATGAATTAACTGGAGAAAGAAATTGAACAAAATTTTTCTAGTGATTTTAAAAATTCATTGCTAATTTTTTAATAAATTGTTTATTTTTATCAAAGGGTGGTCCAGGAGCTTCTTCGTGTGGTTACGGAAACTTCATGGAACTGGGACCTCTAGATGTGAACTTAAAACCTCGTAACACGACATGGGTAATCTGTATTTCATCTTATATAAGCAAAAGTCACTTCTTTTTGTTTTTCTAAATGGTAAACCAGATTTTTGTAAGTCTGTAAACCAAGCCTTGTTCAACATTATGCTCATGCATTCGTTTAAATCGGCCGTAAGTTGATAAAACATTTCTGAATTTTGATATTGCGTCTCTTTGCTTGGATTATTTTATCTACTGAAATTTGAAACATAAAAAACTGAAGAAGCAGACGTGTTTACTGTAAAGCATTTACGTTAAGAGCTAAAGTGGATGTTTGACAACACTTTTTATGTAGGGTATATAAAAATGAAATTTTGTGATCATTAAATTAAATCAGGTGCTCAGTTTTTGTACTTGTTAAATTTACAAGAGTATTTGATTATTGCTATATACTTAACTGTTCAAATTAATCACGTGAAAGACAGAGAACAAATACTTTTCATTCCATGTCCTTACATGTCTCCTGAAATGTACTCTTTTGAGTTTTGGCAAAAACAATGAGATTTCTCCTACACATAAATGAAGTCTTTATGCTTAGAAAGCACTCTCTTTCACATATAGTAATGTCTTTTAGTTGGTTTTTTTCCTCAAACTTTTATTTCCTACTGTTTCCAATTCTGTATGGATTTTTATTTACACACTATCATTTATACATTTCTTTTTTTTGATATTTCTGCTTGAAGTTTAGTTATCTTTAAAGTTGTATTTCTAGCTCATACCTATATTAGTTGTCAATTTTGAGGTTTAGAAACGAAATTTGATACCTTCAACTCTTACCTTCTTGTAGTGGTACACCATTTTATTAGTGTTTTACCATTTTGTTCAAAATGAATGCAGCTTACTCATTTTGAGACTGGTTGCCTCTCCCTATGTTTTCTTCAGAATTGTGTGGACTGTCCTACTTGGTTACATGTACCAATTTTCCACTTCTTTATCTAAATAGACAATTGTTTAATTTCGTCAAATTTGAAGCCTGAAATTAATTGGACTCGGTGATTTTTGGTTGCTGCTATTTTACTCGGGTTTGATTCTTAAGTCTTCCAAGTACTGTTTCTGACCACATCAGTACAATTTTTCATATTTCATTTGCATAACTTTTAGAACCTAAATGAATATCAAAACTTTTTTTAGGGAGAAGTTTGTATATTATCAGTTATTTTCTCTACCCTAACACTAGCTGTAGTTGAATCATCAATGTATAGTGAAATAAAATAAACATACCCTTTTCTTCTTTTTCAATATATAATTTGTTGCAACATCTTGAGGTGGTGATATTCATAATTTTAATTGTTTACTTATTCACACATATAGTTTAATTTTATAGTTTTATTTCCTGGCTTGTGCAACATACAGTTTATTCAACCCTGAAAAGCAACACATCAGTGAGAAGACATTAGGAAATTCCCATGTTCTCACCTGCTGCATGCATGAAGTTCTGCACTTTGTTTGCCTAGTGAACTAAGCCTTGTTAACATTTTTATAATTTCTTCTGTGAAAAAAAAAATTATGCACCTTTCAAATATGCATTTTAAAACATAAGTAATACATGAATCAATAAAATGGAATGTCCAAAAACAATTAATTTAACTGTCTTTTTAACTAAGCTATAATAGATTAAAAAATTGTTAAAACCTGTGAGTGTCAACTCTGCTTACCAACATGCACAAAATCGAGACTCTTATTCTTACATTTCATGCCACCAATTTTAAAAGAACTATTGCAAGCGTAAAATTGAAAGCAAACTCTTTCTATTGCTTATAAATATTTATATCAAGTAAGATGACATGGTTTTGAAAACTGCCTTGAAAGCTAAGGATTTTGTGAATTTGGAAAATTTATTGATATCTCACTAAAAGGCGAAGCTAGGACATTGAAACTGTATGTTTGGACCTTGAAATTATCTGTACATTGTGTCTAAATAAGTTACATAGTATAGATGATATGCTAAAAGGGGAGAATTAACAAAAACCTCATCTCAAGTGACAATAAAAATGAAGATAGATAATTTTTTTAACATTCTCTCTTGAAATTATAAAATTAAAATTTAGATAATATAAAAAATTTGAATTATAAAGAACATTATTCTTATGCTAGTTCTATTGGCATACATTAATGATAAGGTTATTTAATTAAATTTTGAATGTAATTCTGTAAACTGCTGTGACATGTGCAGAAAAGCCATACCCATACTTAAAGGTTTAAATAATGGCCAACTTTGTGTTCTTGGGAAAACAACTGCAATCTTCCTAGTGACTTAAACTACATTAATTTAATTAATGTAATGTAATTAGTGTAATTTCTTATCAAGATTTCTGTTATCAAAAATGGGAATTATATAAATTTTATTATCATGCTAGAAAATACATGAATGATAACTTGCTATTACCATTAGACTTGAGGTAGGTAAGACAAAATTGTAATAATTTACAAAATGTTTAAGCTCACTTTATTTACTCCTGGATAGAAATACAGACATTCCTCCTTAGTATTTCCTATAGAAACTTCTTCCTTGTCTACTAAGATATTTTTTAGGGCTGTTTTGACTTTTTTTTTTTTATCTACATAAGGCATTTTAGTGTGGGATTTAATTATAGCCATTACATACAGGTTGACTACAAAGTTTCACTGTTTGGGGCATCCTTTATCACAAATGGTATATCATAAGAAGGTGGAATTGCACAGGATGTTAAGGGTATCGTGAAGATGTAAAGGACACACGTGGCCGACAGGGATGCCATAATGGCCTAACGTCTGATCAGTTACAGCATCCAGAGTGCAATGCATCTGTATGACACAATAGCAACAACACACATCTTATCTGGTATGCTATTAGATGTTTTTATCCTTCACATGGTACATGCATTAACTTCAGGTTCCCCCACTACCAAAAATTGGGTGGTATTAGGTCTGGTGAATGAGGTGTCCATTCATAGGGAAAGTGACCTGCAAGACTTGTTGAAACTTCCAGAAAGGGTAAAGTGTGCTTCTTCAGTCCATAAGATAATGGCAGGCCATTGGTCATTGACTTCCAGTCTTGCCAATGAACTGTAATGCAAAGTAAACACATCAGGTTGAAGCATCTCCTTTAGTGTTTGAACATGATATAGCTTGTTAAGAAACATTTGAAAAGTTGACTAAAGAGCCTTATGAACAGTAAAAATGAGCAAATCTAGACTTTGGGCAACATACCGTGCTCTGCTGTATCTATGTGCATTTGTGCTGGTTTGTTCCTCTATGGCAAGACTGGACTTAGTGACAATTTAAGTATATGTTGGTGGTCTGCCTATATGTGGCTTGTCACAAGTGCATCCTCAATTCTTTTATGAACTTGCACATAGCAATACCAGAAGAAGGCCCTTTATGGATGTTATGCACTCCATGGTATTCCCTGGGAGCTGCCTTGGTGTTACATACTTTGTTGTAATAACATTTCACCAATTCACTTCTCTTCACACTTGTCAGTTTCATGTTTGTTGAATGAGCTGCATTGTGATTGACAAGCTCATTCATGTCCATGAGAAATATATGAAAGAAACCTGGGGACAAAATGCAAAAATTCTGATACAATAACTTATCTCTTCTCACAGAATACCTTTTCTTGACCAGCATTGCTCTCTATTGGTGAAAATTTTAAATGCATGTCACTAGCCTTCTAGATGTAAATGATCATGCAGCAGCTCTCCACCAATAGGAGCATGACACCACTCCTATTGTAACCAGCACTTTCTTCACATCTACACTCATTAGTCACTTCTCTGTTGAAGTAGTACTGTACAGACATGCTGGTTTTTGCTCGTGGATTTATCAGTACTTTCTTTTATACTATTAACTTAGCTTTTTTTTACTATTTATTTAAATCTTCTCATTTTTGTATTTTGAAAGGTTGTTTTTTTTTCCTAATTTTTTTTTTACTTTTTCAGGGGCCTTTTTGCTATTGTTCTGTGGATCCCACTCTGTGGCAATTGTTGCCTGACTAGGTATACTTTTTTTTTTTAATCTGCACTGTCCATCTTGCAACCATGCTCGATGTCAATTCCAGACGCCACCAAAAAATGGTCCAGCTAAGTAAGTCCTCACATGTGTGCTGGGTGGTTTCCCTCCTCCTACTGTGGACTGCATGACAAATGGCCACTGCCACCATGTTTTGGAATGGAGATGCACCCCAGGTTTGTGGTCCCTCTTCCTACTATCTGCTGCATGTTGGTTCCCAATGCAACTGGTGTTGGTTGTTGCCCGATGCAGCACATTTTCCCCCTTGTGTATGGTTGGATATCCTCCTCTTACCACAGACTGGAAGTACTATACCTATTGCCTTCTGATTTTTGACCAGAGATGTCATCCCGTCAGGGCTTTCCACCATCTGCAGAATGTTGGTTACTAGCATATCTGGTGTTGGTTGTTCTGGAAATGCACGCAAGTGGTGATGAATATTGGTACAGAAGCTCGTCTTCCCTACGAATTCCAGTTTTGAGGTGAAGAGGTAGGTGATCCTCTACCTACTGAGTGACTGATCTACCATTCCAGATAATGCCTAGTGTTCAATAAGGTCCAACTTCCACTACAGTCTGTCACACCCTAGCCACACGACACCCAGGAGTCCAATTCATCAGTCATACACATTCTGGGATTTCTTCATATTTTTCCACCCTTCTATGTTTGTGAAAGTGTTATAAAAGAGCAAAAAGTATACTTTGATCCGATATGATGCAGTCTCCTGTTGAGGCGTGATGTTTTCTCTTTTGGTTCCACACCTTCTGGTCTCTCTTTGAGTACTTCCTAAAGGGGGACCTTTTTTTTTTCAACCCTCTACAAGTTCAGTTAGGATTCTAGCTATTTTGTGATTGGAGGTAAGATATTGTATCGGAAGTTAGCATTTTCTTACACTGAAAATGTATTTCCAATATATACCCATTTCCACTCACTTTTCCCACCCAGCCTCCCCACTCCCAATGATATATGATGTAGATCTTCTGACTAATCTTGAAGTGATTAGTGGAGATGGGAAGAGGCCGCTGGTTATGGTAGGAGCGGTGTCATGTTCCTTTTAGTGGAGATCTTCACGTGGTTATACAGATGAGGGAGGTGGAAGGTTAGTGGCATGCATTGAAAATTTGTGCCTATAGAGAGCAGTGCTAATCGAGAAAAGCTATTTTGTAAGTGGAAGTATCTATCGGAAATATATTTTCAGTGTGGGAAAATGCTAACTTGTAGCATTTGCACATCTATGATGCCCTTGACGTTATCTCTGTGCAATTTCACCTTCTTATGTCATAGACTTAAAATAAGACCCAAAACTTGAGAGCTTTCAAATAGTTGACTATTCTTCTTCAGGAGAACAAAGAAGAATAGTCAATTATTTGAATGCCCTCGAGTTTTGGGTCTTATTTTAAGTCTATTACACTTTATTTGTGATCCTTTGTGCTGACTCTTTTATCAAAAACCTTCTTATATGTTTGTAAAACATAACACAATTAACTACAAAACTTTCTTTATAATCACTCAATGTATGATCATAAAAAAATGATGACCAAACAGTTTGTTGAATGGTGATTAGAAAAAGGTGAGAAAAATATCGGAGTTCTCTTTTTATGAAGAATGAAAGTGACAATTATATTAATTACTTCTTAACATTTTATGAAGAAAAATGTTATTTCTTGTGAAAATTTATTGTTGAAATATTTTTTGGAATGTAACTTTGAGCTATATTAGTTAGATGTTATCTTGCATTGATCCTTTTAATTTTCATTACCATTGCACAAATGCCATTAGTGTTTACCAGTTTAACAATTCTTTAACCCGAAGGAGGCCTCGGTATACAAGCCGAAATACCGTTTCACTCTAGAAACAGGCAGGAGCAGTCTGTTAAAGCCAGAACTCAACTAGATGTAACACAAGTTTAAAAGCATAAATATCTTTTCTTAAATAACCTGTTTTATAAATCAAATATGATTTTATGCAAATCTGTGAGTTTTATGTAATTCTTATTCTTTTTTTTTGTCTATAAACTTGACCCTGAGAACGAAATGATTGTTTTATAGGTTAAAAATTCAAATATCCTCTTCATTGACAATCCAGTAGGGACTGGATTTAGTTATGTAAAAAATTTATCGGCTCTTACAAAGAACAACTCCCAGATAGCTGATGACCTTGTGATCCTCATGAAACAATTCTTCCAGAAAGTACCAGAATTTCAGGTATGGTTTATTGAACTTTCCCGTGTCTTGTTTGTTTCTTCAATGCTAATGCCATGTTGTGGCTTTCAAGATATACTTGTCAAGAGCACATGCTTGTTTTGTATTTGTTCTCGTGGTAAAAGTTTAAAAAAAATCTTTTAACTCTAAAATTATTGACTTGTTTTTAATTATGATCATTACTAGTGCAGTCGATATATTGCATTATATTGAGTCATTTTAGTTTTAGCTCATTATAACACTCAATGTAAAGAATTGATTAAAAACTCAGTTAAAATTACTCATTTTTTATGTAATTAGTCGGGTTAAATACACCACTCCATGGTGTGGTATAGTTATTTACATTTTTTGTACCTCGTGTTATTAAGGACCCCTTAACCAACAAGTCATGAACTCAGGAGCAGTTTGGTGTCTTGAGGACAAAGTTTCCCCATTGAATTAAAAATATTACAGAAAATATACTTGTAGTTGTTTTTCCACTCTTTAAAAAAATTCAAGAGTTGAAATGTATTTGATAAAAAAAAAGTTTTATTTATCTAATTTTTTACACAAAATTTAACAAATTTGAAAACTCTTTATTTCAAAATAGTTTTTAGCATGTTCCCAAGAAAATCATTAGTGTTTGAAAATTTCTTAAATTTTTTCTGATCATAATATGACACTCTTAGGAAAATCATAATAGTTTCAAACAAATTAGCAGTAATTTTGTCATTGTAACTTGAATATATGTGTTGTTTTAACGATTTTTGCCCGTCACAGTTTCTCAGTCTTGGTTGTCTTGGTGTGATATATCTCAGCTTCAAAAAGTCAAAGGCTATGAAATGTCATGAAATCTCATTTTTTTTGTTTCCCTACTGCAAAGCAGTGAGATGTATTAATTTGCTCATCTGTCTACCTGTTCTAAACTTGTGGATGGAATATCTAAAGATTAGATTTTGGACCAAATTTATACAATAGGTAGTACATACAGAGATCTAGACCTGATTATCTTTTGAAAGTAATGGGTCAAAGGCCACTGATACAGAAAAACCTGTCTCAATCTTGTAGACATAATATTTGAAGATTGAAAGAATGGATTTTGATTAAACTTATACTAAAGGTATTACATCATCAAATTGGCAGGAATTTAACATGCAGTATCACATTAAAGAGGCATGAGTGTTTCATGAACACAATTTGTACTTGTTCCATGTATTGAAATGTAAAAGCAATAATGCTTCGGTTCGGCAGTGATTTGCGTAGAAGTCAGACCAAAGTAATAAAAGCTTAGTTTGATGATATGCTGATGAAAGGAAAGGTGCCTGTGAACAGTTACCACTTCTATTACGTTCCTAATTTTATTTTAAAGTTGGTGAAGAGCTTGCCTTTTAATTTTATACTTCATTTGAATTTTGATATTGACGTATAATAGCAAATACTTTTTGTGGTGTAAGATAATGTAGACTTAGTTAATTCATTATGCGCTTGACTGTATCAAGATTTGTTTTGCCTAAAAAGCCACTGTGTTAGGCATTGTTTGCATTAGGCTGTAGAGCCTGGTGGTTAGGGCACTTAAATCACAATCTATAGGTCACAAGTTTGAATCCCTGTCACTAAACATGCTCGCCCTTTCAGCCATGAGGACATTATAATATGACAATCAATCCTCTATTCAATGGTAAAGAATAGCTCAAGAGTTGATGGTGGGTGGTGTTGATTAGCTGCATACCCTCTAGTCTTACACTGCTAAATTAGGAATGGCTAGCACACATAGCCCTTGCATAGCTTCTTGTGTAATTCAAAGTAAAACGAACCATTAGGCCATATTAGCCGAACTAACTGCTAGTATGGGCAAAGAAAATCACCAAAAACAAATGTGAAAACAAATATATGAGAGAATATTAAATGGGTTTAAAAGTCATTACGTATATTAAATGAAACTTTCAGATTGGTAATAAAAAAGTAAGTTTGATAAAAAGTTTTTGTTGTATGGCAGATATTGTAAATGTAGTGAAATTGCATTCCTTGTTTTTAAAATCAAATAAACCAAATTACAGTTTTATGAAATAAAACTTTATACGAAACATTTAAAAGAATCTTCTTAAAAATCAATTACTAAAATCAATGGGTTTTTAATGGTTTCTTAAGAAAAATCTTCTCTCACTGAAATTTTTTCAAAACCTGAAATCTGTGAATTCATACAAGTATCGATAAAGATAAGTTATGTTATTTGTAGAATATACATAATCTGTAGAAATGAAGTTTCAAGTTAGTTCATCCAATTTGTTTTTTTAACAATGCAGTATAATAAACCATATACAACTACAAACCAAGTTTGATGGAGCCAGTGGTGTGCAGAGGTTCTATGATGCCCTGGGGCCTTGTACCTAAGACCTTGGGAAGGCTGGAAAGGGTTGTACTATACGATTCGACTCTTTACGTTGGATGCCCTCCCGATATGGATGCCTGGGGCCCCGGCACCTTCCCCCCCCCCCTCGCACGCTACTGGATGGAGCATTTATTTGAAGTACTTTATAGTTAGTAAAGATGAAAATTTGGATTCACTGGACCCAATTTCCAGTAGTCTGCTACAGAAAAACTAAGTGATCATAATTTAATATACTACCAGAAATGAGCAAATTCACAATACGGTATCTTAAACACAAAACTTGTGTTTATCTGTCACTGTGCGGTGTAGTATTTCAGCATAACTAAATACTTGGTAAATGACTGACATTCTAGACTTCTGATTTCAGAAATCTCCTTTGTACATCTTCTCAGAGTCTTATGGTGGAAAAATGGCTGCATCTTTTGCCTTAGCACTCTACAAGGTAAATAGTGTTAATAATTTATCATACTCTATGAGTTGACAAATGATTTATCGTTTATTAAAAGATATTTTAGAATACTTTTTTAATCTTGTTGAAATCCGGGACTTTATTATGTAAATTGAGATTCATTTGTGTGATCTGTATATCTTTCAGTATTTAACATTGTTATTAGTTGATACAAGACATTTTTATTTTTTAATCTTATTCACATTTTATGCAAGATGAAAGTCCTTCTAGAACTACAAATGAAACAATTAAAGGAAGCTACATAGTTCGTATTTTAAACTTTATCTAGCCAGTACTGTATATATATTATTTACTACAAGCAAAAGTACCCGTCCCCAGTGACTGGAAAATTTAATCTAATCTATCAATTTAAGTTATTTCAGGAACTTAGAAAAGGTTAATTGTGTTGCACTCTTGTGGTTTCACTCAGGGCCAAAGCTCTGAGCTTCTTATACAACCCACTGTGAAAAGTAATTGTTGAGCATTTCAGTCATGCTAAGAACTACTCAACAATAACATACGGTAAATCTACATTTTAATTCTTTAAGTTACGTTACGTTATACATGCCTCCCGTCATTTCAAAAGTGGATGTTAAGCTTTGCCTGCATACTCAGCTTTTCAAACAGGAGACAGACAACTGCTCGGACAGACACCACGGTTTGCAGTATGTATAAGATTAACAGTACATGTACATTTAAATGGCTCTTCTACTTAAATGTTGTAAAAATGTATATGAAGTCAAATTTAACAGAACACATACGTAGGAGTGTGGCTTAACATTTTTTAAAGTTTGAGAATAAGTTAGCACTAGATTTTAAGCTATTTATATACACTTGTAAAAACTTATGGCATTCGGAGTATAATTATGTAAAAAAAATTTATTACAACTTCTGAAAAATTAATAGGTGTTACAAAATAACACTTTCTAAAGCATTATTATTATTTTGTGAGATACTGTATGAAGCAAGTTTGATGTGATTGAGAATGAATAATGCCAGTGTTATATACAACTAGATATTTCTAAAGCATTAGGGTTGTGAATATCAATAGATTAGTGAATATGAATGCTAATAAACAGCTGTAACTATGTAAACTTTAACACATACAATACATTGTCCTTCTAGGCAGTGAAGTCTGGAAAGATATCTTGTAATTTTCAAGGAGTTACGTTTGGTGATTCTTGGATTTCTCCTATTGATTCTGTAGCAACCTGGGGTTCATATTTGTACACTGTGGTAGGTGCTTTTGCATTTTTGAACATATGGAATGTAGTGTTTATTTGGTTGTCCTAACTTTTCTAAATATAAATTTGAGAATAGCAAAGAGACACTTCACTGTACTCTAAATACTATATATATGCATAGCCTTTGCCTTTTTTTTTTTCTTTCTCAAAAATCATACTTTATTTTATTTGTGATAACTCGTAAAACCCAACAGTTACATCTAAAACCTAAGTTGAAACATAAAAAAAAACAGATATTCCGAAGGCTGTTATTTTAGTTTGAGATTTTTTGTTAGCTAAATCATTTTAACTAAATGTTTTGCTACATGACTACTTTTCTACATTGCTTAGCTCTTTGTTTGTGTAAGCAAATACATGTAAAAATTTTGATTAGCATCAGGAACAAAAACATTTTATAGTTTATCTAAAAAGTATTCAATTTTTTCATTAACAATAGCAGCAGAGAAAGATGATACAAAATTGATATTGAATACAACTAATCATTGTTGTGTTATATTGTGCATAGTGATGTGCAGTAGCTTTTTGATATAAAGTATTATTCCTTGTTTAGAAAACAAGTTTGGCCAAAATTGAGTAATGTACACATCAATGACACTAAGTTTAATGGAGATCATATTAGAAACTGAAGGGAGTTTTATGATTGCATTACAGCATCAGATTTTATATAAATTCAAAATAAGTAATGATTGGATGAGAGAATACACTGGATAACTTTGTAACTTGTGGGAAAAATTTTTTTTAGTAAATTACGTAAGTTGCTGTATAAGTTAATGTTAGATAACCAGAATAAAAAACAAACATTTATCTTTTTTTTTTTTCTGTTTGATTTTAGAACTTTGGTACAAACAACTTGAATATATTTGTAATATTTGTACTTAAGTTAAAGAAATTTGGTTGTTTGTACTATGAACAAAAACCTCAAGTCTTTTCATATATCAATAAGAATGATATCATGAACATAGAAAAAAGGGCATGTACCTGTATTTTGGTAAAAGAGACAATTAAATTGTCTAGTTACCACAGGAGTACTTGCAATAAATGGTACTGAAACTATGTTGACTACATATGTGTGTATATATATATATATACTAGCAAAAGTACACCAGTTTGCTTGAGTTATTCGATTGATAGTGTATGTATTCTGAACCCATTTTGGCATAAAAGTGTAACCTATATACTTTTGTAGCTAGGCAACATGACATAAAAACCATTGTTTGAACACATTGTTGCCAAAACACACGGGCTTTTCTATATATTAGAAGTCATTATATAAGGAACCTCTTCTTTTTTATGTGGGTTTTTGCTAGCTTGCCTGATTAAAAAAGATGCACATGCGTGCACGCAGGTGGATAAGGTAACTGATACCCAGATGCACACCCTCATGGTCCACTTAGTATGTATGCAAAATTTCAAGTTTCTCTGTTCTTTCCTCTTGGAGCTATGGCAGTCACAAACAGACCTACCTTTTTATTATTATAAGAAGATATATATAAAGGCTTATAGCTAAAGACAAAAATACAAAGCCCTAATTTTAAAATGTTAGGGCAATTTTTAGAATGTAGTAGCAAATTTTTCTATTTTAATTACAGTTTGTTTGTTTTTGTGTATGTCAAGAAAAAAAAATGGTTGTAATGTGTTTGTATAATAGTTTTAATATCACTGCTAAAGATTTTTCTTTTCATATAACACAAAGTAATTGCTGTGTAGAAAAAGGACACTTAGATACGTTTTTATATTATTTTCTCAGTCTATGGTGGACAAGCAAGGACTAGAAGTGATTAATGCAAGTGTACAAGATATCCGTCAGTCCATGGCCAAAGGTCAGTATGTGAATGCAACAGAGTTATGGTCAAGAACTGAAGATATTGTGGAAAAGGTAAATTTCTATTAGTAAATCAAAAGTAAATTGTGTTTGAGAAGGTTTTTGATGGGGGAGGGGTGGACTTAAACTACAAAGCAAATTTTAATTTGTAGTACTTTTATTAATCATTGGGATGCTTTTACTTTAATTTTACATTTAGAAAGTAACACATTGCTTAATTTTATGAAATATTAACTATTTTAACTCAGCATGTGCAGAACAGCATATTTCACTCCCATTAGTTAGTAGACCACGCTTTCGTATTAGCTAGTAATCAGGAATAGAAATAATGAAATAAAATTACATTCACTTGAGGGAAAGCTATCAGGAAGATTACATTTGCTCATGTAAATTTGCATTTCCTCATGAACTGTTTTTTATTTAATTCATTCAATAAGTTTATTTTCATTGATCATAACTAAAGGAATATGGATGGACCATGCATTCCTGATCAGGAAAGCCGACTAAAAAGATGAAATTCCTCAAGCAAAATTAAATTCCTCTGGAATATAATATTTCAATCCCTGCTGGTAATCCTTATTTGTTAAAATTTTAAAACTACTAGTATTATATAAAAGACAGTATGAAACTCATTGGGCTTAAATGTTAATTGTGATAATGAAGTTTTTTGTATACCCATTATATAATGCATTATATACACAACTTTTATTTTGTTAAAAAAAAATTGCCACACATTCCAAGACAAGTAATCTTTACTACATATTTATGTGGGAAGTACCAATTAATGACATGCTTATGTGATGAACTGGATGGCTTCAAATAGTAATGCCTGGAGCCTAAATTAGTGCAAGTTAAAATACAAACTGATATTAATCACAAATTTTAATTATTGAACTCGATAAAGACTTAAACAGCAAAAAGTAAAATATTGATAAAAAAAAGATTAATGTTAACTGGTGCTTTATTAAAATGTGCTTTGCTACAATATTATATCAGTAATCAATCGAGACAGTGAATTCTCATGTTTAACGGCTACCTGTTAAGAAACTACAGGTTGCGATAGAAACTGATTTTATGAGGTAAGAAGTGAGAGTTTGTTAATCAGTGGTGAAGTGTTTTGTCATACATGTGAAATAACAAATACAATATTTCCCAAAATGGCAAGAGAGCTAAATATCTAAGCAAGAACAAAAAGCCACTTTGTTTAAGAAACAAAGAGGAAGACTTATTAGATAGATTGCTATGCTAAGTACATCTTATCATCTTTGTATTGGATTTAATTTTGTGCTCCACATATTTGAAACAATGAAATTATCTTTAAAATTAGTTTACTCTGTGTTTGTCCTGTGAGTTAAGTTGTATCAATTCAAAAATTTAAAACCTTGCAAAATTTAATTTTGCACTTCTCATATATATATGTTAAAAAACACATTGGATTGCATTTTTTTATATAACTTTTTGTTTTAGTGTAATTAACAATGTATGTCACTTTTCAGTACACCAATGGCATTGACTGGTATAACATATTATCCAATGTGGGTGAACAACCAAAACCTATGGTGGGAAGTCTTCCTCCTAACCATATACTGCGTAAGTATAAAAAGCGGACTGCACTACTATCTAATGTAATGTTAACTAGATACATATAACCTATATAACAGCCAATGTGTGTCATGTTGATTTCTCGAAATAGGAGTTGTAAAAGCCAAAATGCATTTATCCAAATAGAATAGTTTGATTACTGCCTCCCCATTACAATTTTATTGATGGGTGTGAAAAGGGGACGTGAGGGGTGGTTGTGTCATGAAGCCTTATAAGTGTAGTAAGTGTTGGTATAATAAGCCTAAAGTAAAGGCATAGTGTGGGATCACCTAGCTTAGAGCCAAGTGCATAAAATTTATCATGAAAGTAAAAAATATCTGTTCAATTTTAAACTGAAATCGTTTTTTAATTAAGCTATTTTCTAGTAAATCACCACTGTTTTTAATAAAAAAACAAACGTCTTTAATCAACGGAGACTCTAAATTAAGAAATCAACAAATATTTTTCCAGTTTTCTTGTCTATATATTTCATTTTATACTTTCAGTACATAGACCAACAACAATATCAGGTCATGCTTTTGTTGCTAAGCAACATGACATAAAAACCATTGTTGGAACATAGTGTTACCAAGATGCACTGGCTTTTCTATATATTAGAAGTTGTTAATCTAACTGATTTTTACTAATAATTATTCTATGAGTATGCCACAAATTAATTTCATGAATGATCTTAATTTTGATTGTCCCACAAAGGAATTTACCAACAGTTGACTGCCTCGACTGCACTTTTTTTGCAGCTTTGTTGGTCAAGCTTGATTTCAAAAAAATTATTTATTTCAGTTATCCATGAAATGTGAGGTTAGGGTATACTATGGAGTGGGAGGGTAGTTCTTGCCCCATCATTTTTGACAGACTATACACTAGTAATTAACATAAAGTTGATTAAATGTACAGTTGACACGATTCCCTGAAAATAGTACAAGAATATATAATTTTGTTCTCCTTGGCCTGAAAAGGCCCTTAAATTTCATTTTAATGCTGTAAAACTGTGAAAACTCCAGGAATAAAAAAAAAAAGATAAAACTGTGGCAGCAACGAGTGAATAATTTATGAATAAGAAGCGGTTTTTCACACATTATATTAGCATTCTATCTGCCCCCATTGAATATGTATTACCTGCTGTAGAATTAAAAAGTTAGATTGAAGAAAATTGGTTTGTTTGAGGAAAAATGAACATAATTTTTAATAGTTAAATTCAAACCAAACATAGTTATTTTGGCTTCATTTTTCAAATTCTGGTCAGATTGAAAGCTTCCATGGTCTCTCTGATTCTCTATGTAATGTGATTTTTTTTTCAATAGTCAGAACTTGTTTTAGTTGAATAGTTGTTTTTGTTTTTAATTGTTATTTTAATATAAAATAACATTGTAAGTTTCATTATCTTACTTTTTGTAATGGTTAATAAAAATTTAAAAATGAAATGTATCGAGTAAATGTGAATCAGTTATAGAGTCTGTTGGATACCAAGCCCTGTATCTGATACCAAGAATACTTTCTCTGCTAGGTTAGGCCTCACAAGCCTTCAGTTGTTAATATGAAGACTTATTTCTGACCTTGGACTATAGGTTTGAATTTCTAACTGGTAGCTAACCTTTCTTACTGGTCATTCTAACGATTACTTGATATATGTTGTTTTTAGCTGTAAGAAGACTGCAGTTATTTATTTATGTATTTAATTATTTGTCATTAGAAATCAAATTATAAAATACTATTATTTTAACCTTTAACAATCAGGCTAATGTCACCACTTAAACTACCCCCCTTAAAGTTTTTTTAAGCTATTATTGCGTGTTTTATTAATTTTTTAAACACTGTAGGAGGAGAATGAACTCATTTGCTATCAGTGGTTATTTTGATTAACACTTGTGCTTCATAATACCTTTAATACATAGTTTTATGATAATCTCACTTAAGGATGAAACAGAAAACGTTTGGAAGACATACAGTATTTTCAATGTAAAATAATTATATAAAAAGTTCAAATAAAAAGATTAACTACATGCTGTGGTCTTTTTCTGTTTATTAACTTAACAATAGGCTAACAGAAAAAACAACTAGTAGTTGTGAATCCAGTGTTTAGTTATTGATATGATTAAAAGGCCTTGGAAAACTGCTAAAACC